GCGGGATTACAGGCTCAGCCACCGAGCCCAGCTGGGCTGGTTTCTTGATCTCCTAAAATCGCATGTATAAACAGGTTAGTCGAGTAGCCAGAGGGGCTGTCTGCACTTCATGGGATCACACACTGAGGGAGACCCGTGAATGCTTCATAGGTTCAGCTATTTGTGCCATCTTACAGAGAGCTGTGAAATTTAGTGGCTCTAAGTCATTGTTATGAATTAAATTGTGTTCTCCAAAATCCATTTGTTGAAGTCTTAACCCCACCCCCCACACCCTATACCTCAGAATGTAACCTTTTTTTGGGATATGGAGTTATTATAGATGGAATTAGTTAGGTGATATCGTGAGGATAGGTCCTACTCGGATATGACTGATGTTCTTATAAAAAGGAGAAATTTGGACAGAGACACACACACAGGGAGAGTACTATGTGGAGATGGAGACAGCATCTGGGATGATATTTCCACAAGTTAAGAACAGGAAACCACCGAAGCTAAGGGAGAGGCCTGAAACAGATTCTTTTTCACAGCCCTTGGATGAATTCAACTCAGCCCTTGGATGAGTTCCAGCTTCCAGAACTGTGAGATAATAATGTTTAAGCCAGTAGTCCCCAACCTTTTTGGCATCAGGTACCAGTTTCATGGAAGACAATTTTTCCATGGAGTGTGTGCGGGGGGATGGTTTGGGAACGATTCAAGCACATTACATTTATTGTGCAGATCAGGGTGTGCAGATCATATGGAGCGCCCAACCTAGATTCCTCTCATGTGCAGTTCACAATAGGGTTCGCACTCCTAGGAGACTCTAATGCCTCTGTTAATCTGACAGAAGGCGGAGCTCAGGTGGTAATGCAAGTGATGGAGAGTGACTGTAAACACAGATGAAGCTTTGCTTGCTCGCTGCACTCACCTCCTGCTGTGCAAATGGGTTTCTAACAGGCTACCAGTCTGGATGTTGGGACCCCTGGTAAGCCACCCAGTGTGTGATCCATTGTTAGGCAAGCCCTGGCCATTAAAATTCTAGTTAAGATTCCAAAGGGTCAGTTCTCCCTCACCGGGTGTCTGAAGCAGAGCTGATGGGAATATAGGTCAGGGCTCAAGGTTACCCCAGGGCTGTGATCTTGAGAGAAAGCATATGGTGCTCTCTGTGTCCAAACTGAGTGAAACCTGTTTGAAAGCAATAGCTAAGGCAGTTTTAACGCATCAGAATCATACCCACAGGAATAGACTGGGGAACATTGTCAAAAGGACAGGCCTGTCTCATCCTTTGGGGTATGTCATCTGAGCGTGTCTATGTGTTTCAGCTTCAAATCTATGAAATGAGGGAAGGTAACGCAAGATGAAGTATGATCTGTTTCTACTAGTACCATTTCTTTCCTTTTGGCCTTTTTGTCTATATCTAAGTACCAGTTCCCAGAACTCAGAACCTTGATTTGCTGGCACCATCCTTGTATTTATCTAGGAGCCATGGACCCTCTTTGAACTCTTTTCTCTAACAGCAGTCTTGACAAGGTGGCAAATGTCACAGGAGAGAAACAATGTCAGAAAAGAGAATAGTGCCCCCCCCAAGATGTCCACATCCTAATCCCAGAACCTGTGACTGTGCTACCATTATCCAGGTAGGCCAGTGTAATCACAAAGGTCCTTACAGAAGGGAGGCAGGAGAGTCAGAATCAGAGAAGATGATGGGAAGATGGAAGCAGAGAAAGAGAGAGAGACAGAGGAAGAGAGAGACAGGAAGGAGAGAGGGAGGAAGAGAGAAAGAGAGGAGGAGGAAGGGAGAGGGGGAGAGAGTGAGAGAGACAGAAAGAGAGGAAAGAGAGAAAGGAGGGAGAGAGGGGGAGAGGAAGAAGGGGGAGAGAGAGAGAGAGAGA